TGAAAAATTCCTTGGATCGATTGCTTGATCTGTGCTTTGTCTCGGAACCGACCATAGCTCTGCTAACCCGATCCCTTCCGCTCACTATACCTGAAGAATCCTACCATCCTACATTCGAAGTGTCGGTCGATATTGGGCCTACTGTATTAGATCGAACGGGCAGGCTATCTGAACCTGACCGCTGCTTTCGTAAAGCTGAGTTTACGAAGCTTAAAAACCTCATTAAAGATTTTGATAGGCCCGCTATGTACTTGTGCACTGACGTTATGAAAGGCACTACCATTTTTTACAATGTACTTGACACACTTTTTGATTATTGTGTCCCACATAAGTATGTTATATCTGGTTGCATAGAACTTTGCAGTTCTGAAAAGCTGGCAAATGCAGCTATAAATCCGACCCAGACCCTTTGTATTTGCAGATTAACGCCTGAAAGATATTAAGCTTTCAAATGCCAATTTCATCATTTTTTTGCGGTATTTTTTTTCGAAACTTTAACTTTAAAAACTCGGAAAAAGTCGAAAGAAAAATAATTCTTGGTATGCATTTTTAGTTTTAGATAGAAGCATTAATTATGCGTCGTTTAAGGTATTGTTCATTAAAATCTATGTGGGATTTGGTGAGAAGCCACAGAGAGCAGCAGAGTCTGTTAAGCTACCAGCGCCCGAAACAGATAGAGAGACCAGAAGCGGCAGTCGAAAGAATGAAGAGAACAAGAGTTCAACGATCGACGCCAGACAGTTCGGTGCCAAAGTTTCTCTCGAAAACACGCAAGAAGCAAAAGCATTCTATTATATCCAATATTATAACCTCTTTTAAACATAACAATTTTTGGGGGCTCAGCTGGAGATTTGAACAGTTACAATCGGGAAGTCATCAAACTAGAATGTATGCTTAAAAATAAATATTGTAACATTAATTGAATCGCTTCGGAGCTGCTTGGAACATTCTGGAAACAAATTTCCAAACGAAACTCTACGGCGCGCAAAGAAATATCAGAAAATCGTGCGAGTGGGCGAGACGGCGGCAGGCAGCAACGGCAAAGAGAAGAAAAACCGAAGCAAACCGAATCAGGAGGAACGAGAGGAACAGCAAAAAAGGCGACAAAAATAAACGAGTACCCAAGCTGGAGGCAACGTAAAACTTTGTGGATGTTCAGCAGCGTGCATTAGGCAGGATCGTTGGCGGTAGACATCTGGACAAAGTGGAAGGCGTGGAGCAGTGAAGGTACCTGGTGGATCGCAAGTACTGGACAAAGGCGGCTGGTCAAGGCCAAAGGTCTGCAAGAAAAGACGGCGTGTAAATCGGCAAGACTGTGCGTGCAAGAAATGGGACGCAGCAGTCAAAAGCTGTAAAAGCTGTGGTGCATTGATCGACGAATTTGGTGTGAGGGTGTTATCAGCGGAGGTACATCGTAGACTAGGGAAACGGCAGAAGAAAAAGAACGAAACGTTGCACGAGTATCTGTACGCTCTGATGGAGTTGGCAAAGCCGATCGATATGGAGGACGAAAGCTTAATCGAATATTTTGTTAATGGGATTCCAGATTCTAATGCAAATAAGGCTTTACTGTATCAGGCTAGGAGTATGAGGCAGTTAAAGGTGCAAAATGAGGCATACCAGAAGATGTCAGGGTCAGTGAGACTGCAAGGGAAGTTTGACTCACACTTCAACAAAGGAGAAAAGGTCGAGATGACAGTTAGACAGGAAAAGGCAACTAATCTAGTTCTGGAGAAAGGTATGACTAAGCCATCAAGCACGTTCATGTCTTCCGGATTAGAATTGAAATCGGTAAGGTATGGAAGATTAGCGTTTAAAGGACAAGTCGATACAGGTGCCGACTTGTGTCTGTTACGCAGAAGTGTGTTTTTGAAAATCGGTAAAGAAAGATTGGCAGGACATGAAAAATGTCTAAAAGGAATTGGTGAAATTCAAATTATAATTCTTGGAAGCATCACCATACCTGTACAGATTGATGATATTGACTTAATATTAGAATTTCATGTGATTGCGGACGAAGACATGGCCTTTGAAGCTATCTTGGGTAGAACTCTTCTAGAGAGAGTAGACGTGAAGGTGACAAGGGATGGCACGTCCTTTGTTCTTGGGTGCTGCAGGAAAGGTTCAGGAACATGCAGATAAAAAAGAAGAAGTTAATTCATGCATGGAGTTGATGAATGAGTTTAGGAGTTTGTGTATGGTGAGTTTTGAGCAGAATGAGACCATTGATATTGATTTGTCGCATTTGCCCTATTCACAGAGAGGTCAAATAAGAAAGATAATTAAGGAATACAAGCCGAGGCGAGATGTACAGTGCCATATAGAGATGAAAATTGTGCTAACCGATGATTTACCTGTGTATCAGCATCCCAGACGTATAGCTTATAGCGAGCAGAACATAGTAGACGAGCAGGTCAACGAGTGGTTGACGCAAGTTATAATCAAGCCCAGTACATCGGAATATGCCTCTCCGATTGTATTAGTGCCAAAGAAGAATGGGCAGAAACGTTTATGCTGCGATTATCGCAAGCTAACGAGAGAATAGTGCGGGATATCTTTCCGATGGTACAGATGCAGGATGTTATCGATAAATTGCAAGGAGCTTTGATTTTTACTACATTAGATTTAAAAAACGCACAAATGCACAAGCAGATTAGACTCGTTTACCGAAGGCCATACAGTACCTGGCAAATTAAAATCACCAAGAACTATCATATGGTCTTTATCCGATAGCGATAATGAAACAGTTTTCAAAGCGGACTGGTGATGCTCGTATATTAAGATATGCGAGGAAGGTGGAATATACGAGAAAGTAATGAAAATGGAAAAGCCTGGGAGAATAAGTTTTACGCACAGTAATTCCAGGTCTTGTTGAACCTTGACTATGAAATGTTCCGACGTGAAGTTTGAGTCCACTGCACGTGACGAACGGTGATTTCCAAAGATCGTATACCGAACTGCAAAAACTTTGGAACTAAGGATGTCCGGCTTTAAACAGGTGTCGGTAAACACAATAACGTGGGACGAGAATGCGAGACTCTTAAGAAAAATAGTGCTGAGCTTACTACGAAAGCCTCTAGCATTCCGGTAGATAACTAAATAGGAGGAATTTAGTTTTTTGGATGGGTAGAAGTAGAGCGGGAAGATGAAGGTGGAGATGGAGCACTGGCCTGGCTACTAGGAAGAGCTATGGGGCCTATTCTTTTTCTAAGCCTTGCACTCTTTCACATCCAAGTGCTCCGGCCAAAATTTGGCAGAGCAAATGGTTTCCAACTGAGTTGGGCAGACGCTTATCTGTAAGGAGGCTATCGCCCTGGCATAAGAGAAATTTAACTTATCCACTTTTAATCCATCGGTTTTTTTTGTAGCTAGGAATGAAAGCAGCTACATTGTCAGATGTAAGGTCAGGGGCAAGCCGTAATACAAAAACTTTCCGCTTTGGTGGGACTCCCACCAGTGGTTTTGGCACCGCCGTGCGGAGCCAGATCCAACATGATTTTCAAAGATGCCTGCGGGGTAGAGTTAAGAGATCTGGTGGTCTGGTGGCCTGCTGCTCGTTGGACTACACCAATTGCTGGTAGTTTGGAACTTGGTATCTTATATTTTCGCGAAAACAAAACCAGTTCTGTTTTCTGTGGGATCACACCAGGCCGTTGTAGCGTGCCCATCTAGCGGTCATGATTTGGGCAGGAACTTGCCCGTTACCAGCATTACTAGATCATTCGCATAGGCCGTAACCTCGTATCCACTCCAACTCAGCTGAAGAGGAAAGTCGTTAAGAACCAAATGTTGATAGAATCAGTTACAGGTAGGGTCCTCCCGGTACCGTATTTTTTACAAAGGAAGTTGTTGAAGGCTCCCTCTGCACCAACTTCATGTTATTCTGCGGATCTGAGGTGTCTATCGATATCACGCTTGTGATAGTCCAGTCAGATGTGTCCAAGGTCGGGTTCTGAGCTTTGATCAGGACCAGCGATACATCGTCTACCTTGATCGGGGGAGGAATCCACACCGTTTATGATCGTTCTCCTTGGAACCTGATCTGTGGGGACTATGCAGAGTGCCGCTCCAGGCCAAAGCTCGAGAATACTCTCGTTACCATATGCCACTGTCTTGGCTACCTCGCAGATATCCGGTCGTCTGCTCGAACAATGGCAGCCGTCATGGCGGTCAGAATTTCCGATTCTGCCGGCAGCCTGTTTTCATTCATTTGGGTGACCGCAGTTGGCGATCAGAATGTCCTCTAGTTTCGCCCTTTTCGTCTCGGAAGCTTGTAGCTCCAGGCAAGTCGATTCCACCGATACCTTCTGTCGAGAAGGTTTTAAGGGGAGGCCTGGGCGGCTCCTTGCAGAAACTCATACCTCCCCACGTCGTACTCGTGTCTTCTTCTTCAGGCTCTTGTCTCTTTCTGTCAGCACGTCGGTGAGGCCCTGGCTAAGTCCCAGTAGGTACTTAAACGCCTTTTAGCTGGACAGCAGCTTTTGTTGGCTCTTCGCCTCGACTACATTCCTTTTCTCCGCCGCATCAGCTGGTGGTAGCCCTGTAGAACCCTAGATGTTGGAACCCGTGAACTAGCTGAGGGACTAGTGGAGTCGAAGATTCCGCCTGTAGTCCCCGTTTTCAGTTCTTACAAAGCTTTTTTCTTTCTGCGGTTCTGGCTCTTGCTTGTGGTATTACAGGAATTATCAGCCACTCCTACGTTTGGTTTCCTGTTATAGGATAGCGACGTTGGGGGGCCTGCGCACTGGTAGCATACGCTACCGCCGGTATAGCTCTTGCCTTCCTTCGGCTTACCAAGCCCCCTCGCGAGGCAGTGGCAGTGGATTTATTGGCTACTAACTCGCGTAATACCACAGCAAGGAACTTTGGATCAACTTTACGACTATCGTGAACAAATGGTAGCTCGCGAGGGGGCTATTGAGTGACTTTTTTATATTTGGATTGTTTTTTTAATTTTTTGTTACATTAAACTAACAATTAATTCTTTTATTTTAATATAGGTTACTGCGTTTATTGTGGAACGATCCTTTGGAGGTGTTACAAATGGTCCACCAGAAAAAAAAATGGGAATTAAGGCATCAAATACGACGGAAGTTTACTTTGAGGACGTAAAAATACCAATTGAAAATATTCTTGGAAAGGAAGGGGATGGATTTAAGGTTGCTATGAATATTTTAAATAATGGTCGGTTTGGAATGGGAGCAACGCTCTCCGGCACGATGAAGAAATGCATTGAAATTGCTACTTCTCATGCTAATAACCGGGTTCAGTTTGGACAAAAACTTAAGAACTATGGCTCTATTCAAGAAAAATTAGCACAAATGAGCATGCTTCAATATGCCACAGAATCTATGGCATTTACGATATCCCAAAACATGGACGATGGGAGTCAGGACTACCATTTAGAAGCGGCCATATCAAAAATATATGCAAGTGAAAGCGCCTGGTACGTTTGCGACGAAGCTATTCAAATTCTGGGAGGTATGGGATTCATGGTTGAAGCTGGACTTGAACGAGTTTTACGAGATTTACGGATTTTCCGAATTTTTGAAGGCACAAATGATATTCTTCGTTTGTTTATAGCACTAACTGGTATTCAATACGCAGGATCTCATTTAAAAGAACTACAAAGTGCATTTAAGAATCCATCTACCAATTTGGGTTTGATATTTAAAGAAGCTTCTAAGCGTGCCGCTTCTAAAGTTGGTCTAGGTGGCAGTGATTTAAGTTGTCATGTAGCTCCTGAGCTTCAGCCCTATGCCAAGAAAACTGCAGAATGTATTGACCTTTTTGGCCAAACAGTTGAAGAGCTATTATTACGGTACAATAAAAATATAGTAAACGAGCAATTTATATTGAACCGACTGGCAAACGCAGCTATAGATATATACGCTATGGTTGTCACACAATCACGATCATCACGAGCTTTAAAACTTAAGCTTCCAACTGCACAGCATGAACTGAACTTGACCAAAGCTTTATCCATACAGGTAAGTTGATTTGACATACGTCCAAGGCAAGGAACAGAAAGAAAAAAGACGAGTTTGTACGTTGTGAGTTGCGGCACAGTACCACGACTATACTCATATACCCGGCCCTCAGTCTGTATATATGTAAGCTTATGATTTATGTAACCCATACCATTGGGGGTGCCACAGAAATCTCTAGGGATTTTGATTCAAGAGATTTGTCGAATCAAAAGAAAAATCCGTTGGTAGAACAGGATCTCTCAATGAAACGTCACGCACAGATTAATGTACATATGTTTGTTTATTGCTAATATGCCTGGTCGATTAGGCGACGATGCTAAGGGCAGGCGGACCGAATTGCCCGTGCCCTAATGCAAGCGAGAGAAAGATAGATGAAGAGAGCGAAAGCGAAGACGAAAGAAAGACGAAAAGCTAGATGCATATATAAACCGCGATTCGTGTTTATATATGCGACGAAAGAAAAGTGCGAGAGATTGCAAAGGCATGCAAGTGCTAGACCAGATCATGACCATTGCGAAGGCATGTTAGGGCAGACGGACCGAATTTCCCGTGCCCTACGCGATGCTAACGAAATAGAGAGCGAGAGAGTGTTCGAGAGAACGAGAGAGCTGATAGATCGAGAGAGTGATTTCCAATGGCGATAAAAAGAAAGATGCGAAACGAAGAGACGAAAGAACGGTTGAAACGGCTATTACAGTGAGGGCGCGGGTGTAGATACATGTCGATTACAATTAGGTACAGTGGGCAGAGCAAATAACGAACAAATAACATGATTTACTTTACGGCTGCACCACTGACTATAAATACTAACTAATGCTCCGCTGGGAGACCGAACAGCACTTTTTTCGGAGTTCACGCGCAACAATAAGAATTGTAGCACAGAAATGTAGTATTTCAAAAATAGTTTTGTGAAATATTGGTCTTCGTTTATTTTATTGTTTATTATTAGGTAGTACAAAGATTTTTTTTAAATTATACTATTTGGCCACCCTTCACTCAGGATAAGTCGAAAAAATATTATATTCCTTGTCTTTGTATTAATTCGCCGTCTTTTAAGTTATCACTCATAAAAACCTATGGACGACTGAGCTAAAATTGTTTGATCAATCCTCTGAAAATCACATTAATTCACACTAAAACACACACAAATTCTAAACTTATACAGGGTGCCACAGAAATCACTTCCACTGGAAAATCACCTAAATTCCATTCCGCCGTGCCACACAGCGATTTTTCAGCGGAATCAAAATCGCTCACAATTTATCCAGCGATTTGATTAAATACACCCATAAAACACACCTAAAACGATTCGAATCTTACTTTCCCATAATGGTTGTTCAATTGGTGATTAACCCTCATCCAAATAATTTAACATTATACATATTGAGTTAATAAAATAAACATTTTAGTACACTAGTAAATCAATCCGCTGACTGAAATTTCACTTAAAGATTCCGCTCTCAATCCGCAGCAGAGCAAGTTGGCCACCAAGGGCGATTCGGACTTTCGAAGTTAATACAGTAATGGCACCTTTTTTAATTCGAATTCGGAGCAATATATTTAATATTAATTATATTGAAAGCATTCTGTTTTCTTTAATTAAGCATTAAAAAAAAATAGCTCATTGTAGTAAAACGAGTCCGATGCGCATCTGAGAAGCCTGCGCTGCAAGGTTTGTACTCTAATATGTTGCCTCCGTAGTTCTTCGATGGCCAACAGTCTCGGTAAAAGCATTTTAATTAAGTTTACCGTAAAATTCAGATCTGTGTTTTTTTTTAACAGCTGATTGCTGCCATGCATGGAGAGTTGCCAGAAAACTGCTAGAGTTGCCGAGTACATTGTTTTATTTGACTCGCACGATATAGGATGTTTTTTTGCTTTGAAATTATAAAAGTACAGCTTTGAAAAATCAATTATTTTATATCATAAAAGAAAAAAAGAAAAACCAATTGTTTTGAAATGATGAAATCAATAGAACTTCAAAGTGAACCCTATTCGAATTGAATCTTGAAAGGTGTCAACCCTAGCTTAGTTACTAATTTGGTTCGAAATCGCTCGGAAATCTGTGGCACGGCGTAAATTTTGAAGCGGAAATCCTCTGAGCGGTTTCCCATTTCACTAGTGATTTCTGTGGCACCCCTCTGCTCACTGAGCACATCACGGGGGAACGGTGAAAGCTTCTATGAGATGTCAAACACCATCCAACATCCAAGAAAAACAGCTGATGTACTCAATTTGGTGCAGCGGAAAATTGGTTGACTTCTAAAATTAAAATTAATATTCATAATATAGTAATAATTGTGAATGTATTTCAGCAGCAAAATATTTTCTTGCACTAGCTAATCACGTTGCTGGACATGGATGATGAAAATGAGGTCAAAATTGACTAAGAGGAGGTATTAGAATAAAAACACAGAAGTCAAAGGTTCTTGTCATTTTTGACGCCTTCTATTAAATCCAATCAATGTTTTAAATACAAATATATATGTATGATAAGTAACTGCTTTAATACAAAACAAAATAAAAGACGTCGGCTTAAAGGTGGAGATAAGCGTATCTCCTGCTCAATTTGAAACCATTTGCTTCACCTGTGCATTGTATATCCGACCATTGCGTTGCTAACCCGATCCCTTCCGCTCACTATACCTGAAGACTCCTACCATCCTAAATTCGAAGTGTCGATCGATATTGGACCTACTGTATTGCATCGAATGGGTATCATAAAGCCGAACTAACGAAGCTTAATAACCCCATTAGGGATTTTGATTGGTCCGCTCTGTACTTGTGCACTGACGTTATGAAAGGCACAAACATTTTTTACATTTTTTTTGACACACTTTTTGATTCTTGTGTCACAGTTTCTTGTCCGGTTAGATCAGGGAAGCCTCCTTGGCTTACCAAAGAGTTATCCAGTCAAAAAACTTAGTCAAGACTTTATAAAAAATTTTGAGCTCTCTCGCTATGTAATAGCTTGGTCAAATTTCTCCATTCTTAACGGTCAATGCTATAGAAACTACCTATCTGGATGCAGGATATGATTTTCACAGGATCCCAAACATTTTAACAGATTCGTAAACAGTAAGCGTAGAACGTCCGCACATCTACCCTCGCTATCATTTCTTAATTCGTCGGCAAACAATATCCAGGCTGTTGCCGATCTTTTTACTCAATTACCTATTCTCATTTAACCTACTCTGGTCAGCCGTATCCATACAGTTTACCAAGATCGAAGGGCAATTTCAGCCCCTTGTTAAATGAAAGCTCACTGCTTCATGATCTTCATCTCGTTAACCCGGTGTTTTCACCAGATCCTGACGGAGTTCTTAGGTACTGTGCCGACGCTCTATGTGGACCCCTGCTTAAACTATTCACCCTATCAATAAATTCTTCATGCTTCCCCCCAAACCTGGAAGGAATTTTTTAATATTCCGCTCCACAAGAAAAGTATCATGTCTGATGCAAAGAATTTTAGAGGTATATCTAAAATACCTAAACTGTTAGAGACATTTTTTTACTATACCCGTACTCAAAAAAGAGTTAAGGGGTATATTAGATTTGTGGTAAAATTGGATGTGTGTTCCGCACATATATATATATTCTTGATCAGCATCAATAGCCGAGTCGATGGAGCCATGTCTGTCTGTCCGTCTGACCGTCTTGTTTGTCGCCTGGATCTCAGAGACTATAAGAGCTAGGGCAACCAAATTTGGTTTCCAGACTCATGTGATATCACACTGCTACAAGTGTATTTCAAAATTTCGCCCCGCCCCCTTCCGCCCACACAAAGGACGAAAATCTGTGGCAGCCACAATTTTAAAGATACGCTAAAACTAAAAACGCAGTATCGTAGAGAATGCCCATATCTACCAGATTGCCGATCGGATCGGATCATAATTATAGCCAGAATGAAGAAATTAATTTTCAGTTGCTCATTCTCTCTCTCGCTTTCACACTCTCAGTTCAGTGCGCGAGCGCCCTCTAGCGAAGGAGGTACATGTATAATCTACATGTTATATGTAGAATATACATAGTAGATGTAGATAACAGATGTAACAAAAAAATGTTAAATGTAAAATAAATTGTTTTAATTCTAAAATTCTAAAAAATCATAAGCTAAAAAATTTATATACTGACTGAGTACGGGTATAAGTAGAGTTGCGTCCCCAGAAGCGACTCATAAGTTTTTTCTCGCTTTTTTTTATTATTACGGTATTTTTATTTATCTAATCTTCCTTATAAGAGAATGACGACAAGTATGAAAATTTTAACCTAATATATTTATTTAATTAATTACACTTAATTACTTAGAGTACGTCCCTTGCTAAGTATTATTGCTGGGTGGGGAGGTCTCTTCGCCGGAGTTGTGTATGGCTAATGTGCCAAGTTAAAGACTGCGCAAGACTATTAGGATGGGCTTGAAGCTTGGCCTGATACTTTGCTTTCACTTTGGCAATTTCATCTTTAACTGATCTTACATTTAAGTCTTTATGGATATTTTCATTCCGTATGTACCATGGTGCGCCAGTGATAGTTCTTAGTATCTTCGATTGAGCTCTATGGATTATTTCTAAATTACTAACGAAAATTCCCCATAGCTCCGAGCCGTATGTCCAGATGGTTTTGAGAACTGCATTGTACAAAAGTACTTTGTACTCCAGTTTTAGTGGTGAACGGGTGTTTATTAGCCAATGTAGATTACTAGCTTTAAATTTAAGTAGATTTCTCTTCGCTTCGATGTGTTTACGCCAAGTAAGCCTTCTATCCAGATGAACACCATGGTATGTTACTTCGGTGGTTTGTGGAATGTTGATATTGTTCAGACATAATGGAGGGCAAGTTTGTCTGTTTAACGTGAAGGTGACATGCTTGCACTTTTGCTCGTTTGCATGTATCCGCCAGTCTGCTAGGCATTTTTCTAAGGCCACGAGATGAGATGATAAGTGTTCCGTTGCTCTAGTTGGGCACTTGAAGTGACTTAGTATGTCAGTATCATCAGCAAA